CTTATTTGAATTTCTTTCATCAGTTGTGAAATGATTAAGAGAAGAATTCCAAAAAGGAAAAATACAGAAAGAGATATTGATGTTTTTATAAAAAATTTTGTTTTTTCGTGCTTAGATAATATCATGGATCGACACTTGTAAGATTTTCTATTTTATCCTTTCTATTTTTTCTTTGTCTGCACTAATGCACGTGTTTTCTCATAAATAACAAATAAGTGGTGAACCAGTGTCTCGAGCTTCTAGAGCACGACGTGACAAGGCTCATGAAGGAGATGAAGGATTTCATCTGGATTGGCTCTTTTGTGTATGTTAAATTATACATTGTAATGTCAGTTTGAAGCATATACTAACATAACTTGCAGAATCATGAATTAGGAGCAAAAGAGTCTTGGGGCCGTGAATTTTCTCTCTGCGAAAGAGCTGGTTCAGTAATCGATAATACAAGGAAAATTTTTTCTAATACACTGAAGGTTAAAAAAACATTAAGAGACATGCACGTGTCATTAATGAAGTCTATCGCATCGGTTAGCAATAAAAGGGTGTCAAAAGAAGTACTACGATCATTTCCGAAGTTATTGATGCCTGGGCTTATTTCTTCACATTTTTTTTTACAAGCAGTGTTAATATTATATGTTGGTGCCGGTTTTTATGTTTCCACTGATTTGGCCGAGTTAGAAATTCCTGCCGATTATGATGAACTTGATAAAATTTTAAAGGTCGCACGTACTGTATATATGTTACAGATCAAGGTTAATATTCTTTCTAATACTATTTATATGAATTTTATGTGATATCTTACACAGTTTCTTTATGTAGAAGTTACTAAAAAAAAAAACGATGTTAGGATATAAAATTATTAAAGAGAGAGCCGAAAAAGAAAAGTTTTTGAAAGATAAAAAGTTAATGAACGAACATGCAGAATATCCTTCTCCACAGAAGAAACAGAAACAGGAGAAGAAAAAAAAGACAACGAAGAGGTCTCAACGTTTATAATATTATATTGTTTTACAGAATGTTTTGGAATTTAACGTGTGTGGGTTGATTTAATGATAAAAATGTATCATGCTTATGTATTAACCTATTTTAATGGGGTGTATAATGAAGATGTTATCCATATCCCTAATAAGTGGTTAGAGTATTTTCTGGCGGGTTGTGATGTTAAAATGAAACGAAAATGGATAATATTATTTTACGAAAAAATATAATAAAGAGCTTCACTTTGAATTTTTAAACTTGTGTTCATGTGACAAGAAAAAAATCTTTATTTTTATCTATAAATGCGCTAAACTATATATTGTATAATTTAAAAAAATTAACTTTCTTCTGGAGTTGACTCCATTCGCTGAAGAGATTCTACTAGAATATTAATAAATCTACTGTCGGGATGGTTATTAAAATAATCACTAATCTTATCATCTAATTTCATTTCTTGTTCTTATGGTCAATTGCACAAAGAGTAAAAATGGCATTTCTAAACTCTTCTGTAAAGTATTGGTCACGAATTTCAGTTTGTAATGCACTGACCAATCTTGGACCTAATGTTCCCAAATCTTTAGGAGCATTTCCCCCGTGTCCATAAACTTTAACTCTATCTGCCAGTTCCATCGGGATCTGAAAGATCATCGCAATACGTTATGTGTAGTCTGCCCTCTTGGAACATTCGAAGGTGGACATCTAGCATTTCCAGAGTTAAAGTTGGCATTTAGGGTAAAGCAAGAACAAGCGATCACTTTTCGGTCACATCTTTTATTTTAATTCATGGGAACCTTCCAATAACAGCTGGATCGAGGCATAGCATTGTCTTCTATATACACGACACCGTTATAAAACAAAAACGGAAATTTAACTCTCTTTTCAATAATGGAGATTTAGATATATCAGAAATTCTAGACAATACCCAATCGATCGTAGATGGTCTTAGCATTACTGACTCCGTTAAAAAACATGACAAGAAACTGCCGAAATACTCACTTCCTAGATTAGCACCTCGAAATTCCTCAAAACTAAAGAATCACCGGCGAAGTTATATTGGTAGGTATAATTAATTCTACACATTTTAAATTCATATTAATAAATAGAATATCCACACCAGTCTCTCTTATATAACTATTGATTGCAGAAATTAAATCTGTTCTATCTAATACTAATGATGGAGCTTGTTCGCATTTTGATGATATCGACCTTTGACTTGCTTCATAAATGATCCACCAGGTCTATAAAGCCATTTTATTACTGCATGCTGGATTATTTTAGCGGAATTAATTTGTCTTCTCCATAAATGATATGTCCGCTGGATAATCAATGACGCACGATTTTTTTTATATAATGCTAGTTGAACTTTAAAATCCCCATAATTAGGGTCATTGCCTATTTGCTTATGGCTGGTCAAATTATTTTTGATATGAAATATAAAATTTTCCCAATAATCTCTACTATTTATTTC